ATGGAGAGGGTCCAGAGGAGGGCCACCCGCATGATCCGGGGACAACAGGGCAGACCCTACAGTGAGAGACTGCGGGACCTGAACCTATTCAGCCTCCACAAGAGAAGGCTGAGGGGGGACCTGGTGACTGTCTATAGACTCACTAGGGGGGACCAGAAGGGTTTGGGGGAGACGCTGTTTCCCCTGGCGCCCGCTGGCATAACAAGGAGTAATGGGCACAAGTTGATGGAGAGCAGGTATAGATTGGACATCCGCAAGAACTACTTCACAGTTAGGGCAGCTAGGAGCTGGAACCAACTTCCAAGGGAAGTGGTGCTGGCCCCTACCCTGGGGGTCTTTAAGAAGAGGCTGGATGGCTACCTGGCTGGACTCATTTGAGTCCCGTTTCTTGTTTTTGGGGTTTTTGTTGTTCTCCCGCCATGGCGGGGTGTCAGGCTAGAAGATCTACTAGGTCCCTTCCGACCCTAAATCTATGAATCTATGAATCTGCTCAGGTTTCATGCTGGCACAGGCATTTCTTATTTTGTCAGAGAAAAGGGGGGGGGGGCTTTCTTTTTGTTTGGGTGGTACTGAGCCTGTTTGGTCACAAGAGGGCGAGCACGGCACATTATTTTGATCTTACAGTTTTAGATGAGCTATTTACTTTGAGGCCTCATTATTAGTTACATTTTAGTTACTCTGAGCACTGGTATCTTTCTTTGACGTTTATGTTGTCATGGTATCAGGCTTTATGTTTCATTTAAAGTTAGTTTCTCACGAGTGGGGGTTTCGAGTGATCTGGATGGGGCACAGACAGGGGTGTGCATACAGCACTGCTATCAATCTGCACTTGACAGGAGGCATGGAGCTTGCCAGGCCTGATGGTTCATGGCTGCCTGTCCATGTGCCATCAGGCTGGGCTGGCCAGTTCCGTGCCTCCACAGAGGTTTCACATGGGCAGGGGAAGAGCACCAGCATGTCAGGGCTACTCAGTGCCACAAAGCAACAGGGGAGACAGCTGCAGTTGAACCCACGTCCTGGTGGATGGAGGGAGCTGCTTCCAGGAGGGAGTAAGTAGGGGGTAGGCAGGGAGTGAGGGGCACTGGCAGGGCTGTGCGGGCTGTGGCTTGGGAATGAGGGGAAACAACATATCAGGGCTGCTCAGCACCACAAAGCAGTGGGAGGGGGGACAGCTGCAGCTGGACCCTCATCCTGGTGAGTGTAGGGGGCAGGGAGAGGTCTGCTTTTCCATGATAAAAAATCCAAAATCAAATGCCAGAATTTATAGGTATTTAGAATTCATTCTATTATAGTGATTGAGACACTGATAGGCTTCCAAATTGCTTTAAAACTGTAAATATATCAATAAAACGTGTTCAGCTGATACTACGTGTGTGTGTGTGTGTGTGTTTCATTTTAATCATGGATTTTGGGTTTTTAATCAGAAAACTTGCGATTTCTTTTTTTTAAATCAGAGAATTCATAATTTTTAAACAGAGAAAACCAGGAGCCCTGGCTATTAGTAATTGAGAGGGGGAATGTCCTCCTAAGCCTAAGTGCTGTTCTTACTCTTTACCTTTGTCGCGCCCAGATGCCGGTGCACCCTTGACCTGCGAGCCTGGGTCGGTACGACCAGCTTGGCGTGAGGGGGGATTTATGACCAGACAGGCGGGTGTTAATGGCGAGCAGGAGTCAGAGGATTTAGATGGTTTAAATGGTTTAATGCACATTGGTTACACAGAAAGTTTAGTTTACTTATGCTACTGATGACTTGCAGCATAGGCAGAAGTAGTTGATTTCTTAGTTACAGCATGCAGTTGTTCTGTCACCCAGCGATTACAGTGGATTGCAGACTTGCTGAGTACAGGTTTCAAACAGTTTATACAAATGACTATGGTCTGCAGATTACCGAGAGCTCTTGACGAGAGGGACGTACGAAAGATAAGATAAGACGAGTGAAAAAGATAAGACGACACGAGCCGGCAAAACGGGGGTACGCCAGAAAGATACATAGGCGGAGAGATAATATTTGTAACTGATCAGGCTACAAACTGTGTCTCTTGGGAATGCTCCGAGATCTCCCTTATTGAGTGTATACGCAGTTCTCCGCTTTTGGGCGGAAGTTCTTTCCAAGTTATAGGAAACAAAATAGCCAATTATTTCACGCCTGGCATGAATAATTAACGAGTTGGCACTTGTGCTCTCTTTGTTTGCTCAAGTTTCATAAAAAGGGGGTTATATTTTTGCTTGGGTGGTACTGGTCCTGTTTGGTCACAAGAGGGCAAGCGTAGCATATTATTTAATTTTACAATTCCGTTACACCCAGCTAATTTGGGTATCTTGTTACCATAGGTATGATATCTTTATGACGTCATAGTGCTGAGTTGTATACAATCCAAGGTTAGCTTCTCTCTTGTATGAAAAGCTCAAGTGATTTGAATTGAGGCACAGACAGGGGTATAAATATGCAGCACTGTTACGAACTAAAAAATAATAGTGTGAGACTACAATTACAAAATTTGCTGTGTTAGCTTCTGACCTTTTGCCATCTGATCTTTTGCTCTTTTGCCATCGGCATCTGAAATCAAAGACTTTGATCTTTGACAACCTTCTTCACCATTTAGAAGCATTTGACTCTCTCCTAGGTGTCTAATCTTGTCTATCTGGCTCCTCTTTCAAAGGTGAGGCACCTATCTTTGAAGCACTGAAGGCCTAAGTGGAGGCTCCTAGGTGATCATTTTGCATCTGACCCTTAGTACCTGTAGTACCTGTCTTTATATTCTTTGCTTCATAGGACTACTGTGAGAACAAGTAGTCAGTATCTACAGTGATGGAGGGGAGAAGGACACACACTAGGCACTGAATAGAATGTCTATATGTATATGTTCACTCACACATACTCATGGATAGCGCCAGTCAGACAAACTGGCATTTCTCTGCTTTCACATTATAGGAGAGATAAGACCTCACTTGGAAAATTCTATTGCCTACATCTTCATAGAACATTAATTCCAGCCATCTTTTAATATAAAAGTTGGCTGCTTAACTGAAACTACTTTGGCCAAATCCTGAAATCCTTACTTATCCAGAAGTCACTCTATAATCAATGCCATTTGCCCAAGAGAGCCAGCAGCATTTAGTAAGAGCTGACATCAGCATTTGATGAGAAAGGACACCCTTTAGTTCCCTGTTTTACATTGAACAGTTTTTACTGTTGGTAAAAAACAAAACAAAACAAAAAACCCTGGAACCATGTGAAAGTTCATTTATCAGCTGGTTTCTAGGAGGAGAGAGAATCATTGAAGGAAGGACTAGAAGATCATCAAGTCCAGTCCCCTGCCATGGGCAGGAGGTAATTGGGCTCAAATGAGGTATATGTCCAGCCTCCTCTTAAAGACTGCCAGAGGTGGTGACTGTACTACCTCTGCTGGAAGTGTCTTCCGGATTTTAATTACCTGTATGGAAAATAAATTTTTCCTTATGTCCAGCTGAAACTTATCCTCACGTAGCTTGTGTCCATTGGTCTGCGTCTTCCTGGAGGGGGCTTTTCTGAAAGTTTCTTCTAGATCCCAGTGTAGATCCCATCTTTATAGGCAGCTATCAAATAATCACCCACCAGGGTTCCTTGGCCAATCAGTGGTGGAAGGAGGGTGCGCATAGCGAACATACCAGAATTAAAGAAGCTGCTGTGCAGCACACATATTTGTAGGTGGCTGTCAAGATAATTAAAGAAATTTGCCCTTTCCTCCACTTCCTTCTCTCTCTCTTCTGTGTTTCCCTTCTCTTACCAGCTCTTTGACCCTCCTTTGAGTTCTGTCTTCAATTCATTTTCCCTGTTCTCTTCCCCCTGCTTTAGTCCTCACTTTTTTTTGAGAATTCACAAAAATTAAGCAGGAACCCTGAGGCCAAAGTCATTTTTATACTAATGGCCCTTTAAACCATTATGATTAGGGATTAGCCTAAATTGTACACTTAGCAGCAGCTCCTTTAATCTTGCTCTTTTCACTGCGTACCACCCCCCCCACTGATTTGCAAAGGGGCCCTGGTGGCTGCGGCGGCCACAGCGCTTGGTCCTGATCCCCTGGGAGGCAAAAGCTGCAGTAGATCAGGAGCAAGTGGCAAGCGGCAGGGCCACCCAGGTCCCTTGGCCAGTCAGCGGTGGGGGGGCAGGAAGAAGGCGGCACATAGTGAAAATAGCAAAATTAGCGGACTTGCTATGTAGGATACTTCTGGCATGATTTAGATAGACCTTTAATTATGATGGTAAAATGGGACCTTACTCTTAGTCTATGGATTCTCTACATTGTTGGAGTGATACAATGTTTACTCCGACCTTGAGGCCCCTATAGAAGCATAATGTGATGTTTTGGCACCATGGATGCAGTTATGCATGGATGGGGCAGTGTCACTGACTGTTGTGGGCAGTGTGGCAGCAGCCAGTCCAGCAGATCAACCACTTCTATTTTTTGCCATTTTCCCTCTCCACTATGGTTGGTGCCTAGGACTAGTGCCCTAGTTGCCCCCCTTCGTTATGCTACTATGCTACTCCTTTATGCAACCAGAGCAGTGGAAAGGGACCTTAGTAGAACAGAATTTGGGACCTTTGTAACAGGGAATTCTTACGCTGTTATGGGGAATGGAATGGGCTCTTTAAGGGAAGAATTTTTGTGAACCAGACAAAGGCAGCTAGCAAGGCAGGAGCTAATAAATAGCTCTGCATTCAGAAAAGCTATTGTGGCACTGACTGGAAGCGGGTGGAGCTTGGGAGGCATAAAAATCTTGAGCCAGAGGGCAGTCTGCCCCGGGTGGCTGAAAGGTGAAGAGCTCTGCAGCCAGAAGGCCATGGCAGCCTGATGGCCTGGGATATTGTTGCCATGGGGGGCTACAGGCAAGGAAGAGAAGGCTTGTGGGGAGCCAGGATGCAGAATAGAGAGAGTCCAGTATGCCCAGTGAGCACAGGGTTTTGTTAGCCAAGAGGCTTATATTTTGATTCAGACCAGTATACTGGATGGGACTAGAAAGGGGAGAGATGGAGGTCCCATTGGTACCCGAGGTGTGCATGACTGCTTTGAGCACTGCCAGGGGTCAGGCTCAAGGTGCTGACAGGACCAGAGGTCCTGGGGTGCCAGGGAAGCACCAAGCTTGGGCCTACTGGGGTCAGCGTGCAAGCCATCTCTGCCCTTCTTGGGCTACAACAAGGGCCAGGGGTTTAGGACCTGAGGGGGCAAGATCAGGTCTAGGGATGCAAGATAGTGACCTAAGCTGGGAGGCACCCATATAGATGAGAGCGGTTGGAGCTGGAAAGCAGACACCCCAACAAGGATACATTGGCCTTGAAGTGGCCTAATGAGGTGATAATGGGTAGCAGCTGCAAGGCATGGGCATGGTTAAAGGGGTAGAAGGAGCTCACAGATTTCGCCTTTGAGGCAACAGAGACCTTAAGGTCTGGATGGGCCTGGAAAGTTTGCTTTGCTCTTGAGAGGTGTGCTTGGAAACTGCAGGGTCCAAGAGGGGTGAGCCATCTGAAAGAAGGGCAAGAGCATAACCTGGGACCACCTTCCTTTTCATATGAGAGTTGATGACATCAAGGTTTGGCAGGAAAGAGAAAAAGAGCATCCAGGGAGCCTGAGTAGGTAGGAGCCACTTGGCCACCAGTAGACAACATGGCCACCCCTGGGTGCATGGTCCTGTTACAACCTCAAAGAGTCAAGTAAGGAAAACAAGCTCAGTGCTGCTCAGGGCTTCCCCAGTGTTCAACCTACATTCAGCCTGTCCTTTAACCTTCTTTGTACCACACAATTTAGTGACAGATTTCACTGAGGCACAAGTGCTTTCAAAAACACATTTTTGCTAGGAAGGACGAATCTTTATAGCTGCTGCTCTTGGGTGGTCATGTGACCATCAGGTGAATGTCTTTCACAAATAAGTCTTCATCATCCAATATGTAGAAGGGCAATAGCTTGAGTGCAGCTGAGCCAGCAGAGCTTTGGAGGTGACCTCAAACCTGGTCCCTTGACTCTTTTTATTCCAAATATGTGCTGCATAGCTGTTTTGGAAAAGTTTCTGAAACTCTGAAGAACTGACTTCTTCAAAATACTTCTTCCAGTCCTGCCAGTGAATAGGATAAAAGGCTTCTTGAGGAAGGGTGCTGACACCTTTGCAGCCTTTACTTCTCTGGAGACTCCTGATGGAGCACCACTTCTTGAAAACACGGGAAAGAAGCTGTGGTCCCTGGTGCCCCCATATCCAGCTATTGTAATGGTTCACATAGTCCTTCATACAGAGCTCTATGAACTTGTGGTTGGGTTCAAAGGAAAGGAAGGCTCCATTCAGTATATATTTGGACTGGATGCCAATTACATTAGTGAGGTTCCCTAAGTTTTTAAGGACTATGAAGTCTGTGTCTAAGTAGATACCGCCAAATTTCCACATAATTGCAATTCTACAGGCATCAGAAAGGACAGCTAAGAAATAAGGTTCCCACCTGTGTTGGGCCTGTGAGTACCAGTCAGCCAGAGGTGTACCTGAAAACAGATCATCTAAGTCCAATGGCCGAATTTCCACATTGGGGAAGCAGCCGAGTAGGGATAACCCCCAGTGTTTTGGCTGGGAAAATTTTTTTTCTGCTAAGCCCTTCATAAGGATGACAACTTTGGTGTCAGGGTGAGCCCTGGCTGCAGATTCAACAGAGCACACAAAGAGAAAATGTGGGTTGATACGTTCTGAAGTCTCTATGAAGAATATATTCCCTGGTGTTGGAGGTGGACTGACAGAAACAGCTGGAGGAGAAGGTACAAGGTGATGGCAGTTCACTTCCAGAATTAAGTCATACAGCTGACTCTTGTTGGTATCCTCACTGATTCTCCAGTAGCACATTATGTAGACAAAACACAGGAACTGAAAGGTGATAATGAACACAGCCCACAATTTGTGATGTGTCACCACCTTGGTGAGTTTTAGCATGCAGACAGGCATTTTAGGCATTTTGTCTTTACCTCCAGAGCCTTGTTTTTCCAACAAAAATAAGGAGACCTGAAAAAATATTAAAACCATACAATAAAAAATTAACTCTGATAAATTAATTTGTTTATCAATATAAACAGTGATAACAGGTTTACACAAAAACTTGTGTTTTCCTTATGCAGTTATTTTCTCTTTCCTTTCAAAATACAGTGGCTTACTTAATTATCATTATTCTATCTGTGTGGTGGTAGTACCTCAGGGACCCATTAGAGATCTTGGCTGACTGTGCTTAATCTCATTGTTTGCCATAACAAGAGGATGATCCCTGCCCGCTGTAATACCACAGCACCAAATTCTGTCCTCTGTTATAGCCTCACAACTGTGTGGATTCTAGTGGGGAAACAGAAGTATAAGAAAGTAGAAATATAATAATCTTATTATTAGATTTTTCCTATCATTTCTACTTGTAGCTTTCACCAGACTGATCTGTAATAATTCTAGAGAGCTGGTAATTGGGAGCTGCTGCCTTCATAATTCTGCCATAATAATAATGCTGGACCCCTCAGAATAGGCACTTTGTGGAAAAGCCCCAATTGTTAGGTCAGGATATATGTGCTTTAGGAAGGAGAACAACAGTCCTTTCCCAGTACTCAGTGCTAATGTGAGAAAAGTGGTTTTCATGGAGGATGCTGGTGCATGATTTCTTTTATCATAGAGAAGCTGCTGCACAGCAGCTTCCACAATTGGAGATGTACCATCAGTGCTGCCTGTGGAAGATGCTTCGAATCCAGTGTGAAGATAGAAACACCAACATTAGCATCCTTTCACAAGCAAGCACCACAAGTATTGAGGTGATGATCATTTGACATCAACTTCACAGAGCTGGCCCCATCATCCAGAAGTCCAAGTTCAGACTCCTAAAGCAAGTTTTATTCTCCCAGCTCAGTCAAGACCCATGCTGAGGAGGAGGGCAGAGAAAGCACTTATAAGGATGTCCTCAAGACCATCTTGAAAAAAAAAAATGCAACATTGACATCATGTGAAAGACTGTTGTCCAGGATTGCCCGAAATGGAGGAAGAGTCTGCTGCAAGGATCTTGGTACTTTGAAGCCTTATGACAACAACAGGAGATGGAAATGTGGGAGTGACAGAAACAGTGTTTTGTGGACCAAATCAAGAATCCAGGGCCACCAACCCTGCATGAAAACATGTGCCTGAGTTGCAATAGTCTGATGATTCCAGATCAGCCTCGGCAGCCGTCTTCTGACCCACAGGTAAGACAATGATTCTTGACTGCAAGAGATTGCTGCAAAGTAGGTAGTGCAAGATCCCCCTCTGCTGCCATTTGTTCTTGCGCTTGGATATTTGCTACATTTAGCACGTTTTTCCATTTACTTGATGACAATCCACTACCTTGCCTTGGTTACATAGTCCACCAGAGCGAGAGCTTTTTCTGTGGTGCTTTTACCTTTCCAGCTTTGTTCTATTCTGCTCCCCTTCCTGACTTGCTATATACCTTTACAGTCAAGATACTTAAATTTGAGTGTCATCATGAAACAGGTTGATGCCCCATGACCTTCAGCTTACCTGAAATCACCAGTTAGCAAGGAAGGTGAAACATGACAACTGATGACCTTTCACACCTCCAGTACTTCGGTGTTTGAGGACACCTTGGGCACTACTTTCCTTTCCCTTCTATCCATCAAATAGATGCTTTGCTCCCCTGCATTATTTTTAAATGCAAGGGAAACCTTCCTATCCTTATCCCAGGTGATCAGATCAGGATATATCGTTTCCAGTCTTCCTTATGTAATGAGCATAATTTGAGAGTCCAGGCAGGCTGCCTAGTAGGGGTGTGCAAAACGGGCCATAATCAATTTGGATTCGGCCCAAATTGGGGGACAGTGATTTGATTCATTGATTTGGATCACTGTCCCGATTAGATTTGACTGAATCTGAAGCTTCAGTGCTGATTTGGATCATCAGCAATTTGGCCATAGACACAGCTTTAAATGTTTTTTTCTACATGCCAGGTACTAGGTGTGTCCCATGAACGCTGCGATGGTGGGGCAGATGGAACGTCCCACAGGAGCGCAGGGGGGCCCCCTGTGTGCTCAGCGGCGGGCCTGGAAGTATTTCTGGTCCACTTCCGTGTGTGCAGGGGACCCCGGCTCAGTGATCGGCCACGGAGGAACCCTAGATGCCTCCCCTAGACCCAGGAGGCAAGAGTCACTGAGCCGGGAGGAGGGTCCCCTGCCAAGTGCTTCGGGGACTCCGTGTGCTCCTGTGGAATGCTCTATCTGCCCCACCATTTCAGTATTCATGAGCCACCTGGCACCTTGAGGTACGTAGAAAAAAACATTTAAAGCTGTGTCTGAATCATCAAATCTCCGAATCAATTCGGAGGGTTCCGATTTGATGCAGAGAGATTAAAGGGTATCCTGATTCAGTTCGGATTTGGAGATTCGGCTGACAAATCAAATCAGCAACCGAAGCTTTGCAATAGCCCTACTGCTTAGCTTAGTTCTCTGAAGTACAAAGGCTAGAGTTACCATAAAACGGGTGTGTCTCTGACTCCTAGGGATGGAAAAAAAAGGCTGAATTTAGTTCCAAAACTACTCAAATACAATGTAAAGGGCAGAAACAATATATACCAGGGCTTCACTTTGCAATGTATACACTAATTAAAATGAGAGAGACCCAGAGCTTTTCTCAGAGCTTGAATGGAATCTTTACTGTTGCCATCTTCTCTCATATAAGCTGCATAAAGAATAGGTGTTTTAAACAAATCAGTATTAAATATTAAATTGTTTCATTTAATCACATATAAAGGCATATGAGAGAGATTTATTTCCCCATTTCTTGTTTCCTTTCTGGTAAAATTCTTCAGTCTGTAATAAAAGTTAAGTCAATAGGGCTCTAAGTAATTTAAAAGGGTTTTATCACAGTTAAGCTACAAGTCTAAGATTTAATAGAGAATCATATATTGCCACTACAGATGTCTATAGAATGACTAAATAATTCCATCAAATACAGAATATTTTTTTCAGTGGTACTTTCCAATCAGGCTCCGATTCCCCGGTGTCACACCAGGGGTTTTCCTCTTTCCCGGGCCCTGGTCTGGGCATCAGGGCTCTTTTAGTTAAAGGTGGAGCCACACTGCAGGGCTCCGATCACTCGGCCTAGGGCCAGGGCTTATGTGAGCAGCCGTGAGCTGCTTCCAAGGTAGTTCTCCATATGCTGATACACACACTGTGCCGGTCCTGAGCAACCGTGAGCTGCTTCCAGGGACAGCTCTCAGTGTGCTGATCTGCATACCAACTGCCCAACTTTGCAGGCTCAAGCCGCCTTGAGCGGCTCCTAGAGCCTGATCCCTATGTGCCAATTTGCGCACCACTGAACCTCAAGCAGGGTCCCGAAGATGGCTGTCTCTGGAGCTCCTCTCTCCTCACCATCCCTCGCCATCTCTCTCCAGCCTGCTGAGCATGCTTTTATACTCTTCAGGGGCTCCACCCCCTAAGTTCTCCAGACCTGGCTGGTGCAGTTCCAATTCAGGTCCAGCTGCTTCTTGCCCCCTCCCTTTGGAAAAGGGTGGAGCATTGCTTCCCTTGTGCTTCCTCTGCATTGGTGAATGGGCTCCATCAATCAAACAGCAGGCCCTTGATCCTGGGACTCAACCCAAGCTTCGAAAAGGTAAGCTTGCTACATCTGTAAGACACTTGAAGGTTGCCAGGGCTCCTTGTAGACCAAAAGGTAGAGTTCTGAAGTAGTAGATTCTCCAGGGCATTATAAAGGCTGTGATTTCAAGAGGACTAACATGCCCTGGGGCTGCTTCCCATACACCAATTCAAAGGACGAAAAGCCCGTGGAGGACTGGAACCTCTTGAATGGTGAGCAACAAGTATGGTAATAATTGGTCCCAATTTCAAAGCTCCTATGATACAAGTTTCAGTGTTTGATTAAAACTTTAGACTAATCCATCCATGGGGGATGCATAGAATGCCCTGCCACGATGTTCTACTTGCACTTCAAGTCCTGGAATATGCATCGTATCACACCTCCAGTCCACCCTCTGCCTGCACTGTTTCCTGCCAGGCCTTGATGTTATTGAGGAGTTCTTGAATTAGAGGCAGGTACAGACAGCTGGTTCTTCCTCTGTGTTGCTGCGGTGTCCCTCTTACAGGCTCTCCCATTCCCCTTGTTCCACCTTCCTTTGTTTTGACTGTCAGCCTGTATTCCCTTGGCCGTTCAGTCCTGGAGTAACTGATTTTTATATGTTTAATGCTAGAGTTGGCTGAGACACCAGCATTAGCCATTTACCCAGTCTCCTATTGCAACCTGGGATTTAACAGTTCATTAGTCCCATGCTCTGACAAGAATATTGTGTCTTTAATAGTCTCTTACCCTGTCTTGAAGTCTTCCTGTCCTACTCACAGCCTTCACCTTTTGGCTGCTCTCAGGCTCTCACCAACAAGCAGCCTCTCTGGCTCTGTCTGCCACGACTTTTCAAATTTTTCTCCCTCTTAGCATTGCAGGACACAGTCATCCAAGTGCTGGGCTGGTCTCCTCTGCAGAGCTGGTCTGCTGCATCTTCAGAAGCTTGGAATATATGGAACCCCTCTCTTACTCCTCACAAGCTTCCACCCCTCCTGTTGCTTCTTGCTCCCCTTTTATCTTCACTGGCTGCTGCCTGTATCTTAATCACCTCCCTCCCCTGGCAGCTCCTATCCTTAGCAGTCCCTGGTTCTCCCTCGCTCCAGTGACTCTTAAAGGGGCTCTAGCCCCATTTTCCTGGTAACTTTCTCTTCATTCTGCTCCCTGACCAGTAAAAAGGCTTGGGTTCTCTTTTACAGAATGGTATACTGAAGTTTTTCCTGAATGGACTTTAAGTAAGCCCAAGACCTCTTGCAGTAACTGGGACATGAAGGCTGTGCCCTGGTCACTTAAAACCCCTTTAAGAATGCCCACCTGCAAGAATATACGTAGTAGCTCAGAGACCACTGTTTGTGCTGAAACTGAGTGGATCACTGATAGTGCGTGGTAAAGTCAGTCAAGACTAGGATGAACTTGGATCCCCTTGAACTGGGCTTCAGCAGTCCTACCAAGTCCACACTGACCCACTCAAGAGTATGGTGACCAATTGGATGGGTACCAGTGGGGCCTTAAAAGTGAGCTGGGAAGCAACCAGCAGCACTCAGAGCAGGATGCGCAATAGCCCTTGATTTTTCTGGTATACCCCAGGTCAAAAAACCCCAAAACAAACCTCACTAGCACTCTACCCAAAGTATTTTGCACCCCCACATTCTCCCCCCCATGGTACATCATGTACCAGCTTCAAAACCTAGTTGTGGTACTACTTTGGGACTGATAGTTGGGACTGCCAGGCACCTGTAACCTTATCTTTGGACACCATCCTCAAGTGGTCTCCCTACAACTCAAAATGGGGGTCCTGGGCTGTTAAACTTGCATCCACTATGGCTCCCATTGCCCTGACTCAGTTGTCCATCCAGAGGGGCATATACTGGGTCTTTCCTTTGGTCATGAATGAAATCCTGACCTGATCCAGTCCACTTTCCTGAGGTTCCCTAACCCTCTGCATCCTTTGGAGGGGGGTCCAGATTATATTGAACTCTGACCCCTTTCCCTGACCATTTCCTGTCACTGGTGAGGGCCTCCTGCCTGACTTGTCAGCACTCTTGGCATAACCT